AAGTTATTTATAACAATTAATTATCCGCACATATATAATCATTATAAGTAATTTTCCGGAACAGCATAACATCAGTCAAGACATACCCAGGAGCTGATATCAAATCAGACCATAACCCACTAACTGGCAAAATTAGATTCAGGCTAAAGAAGGTTAGACGTAGTGTCAATCCAAAATTCGACATCAAGCTATTAAAAGACCAACACACAGAACATAGTGTAAAGCGGTATATACAGAACAATTTGAATACCGTTATTCAATCGGATGTAATGGACCAGGAGCTAGAAAAGTTACATACAGTTTCAAAAGAAATTCGAGAGAAATTTCTCAAACCACCAAAAATTAAAAAGAAATCGTGGATGACAAATGAGATTCTAGATATGATGGAAGAGAGGCGAAAGTTCAAAGATCAGGACATGTCATTATACAAAAGAATCGATAAAAAGATCAAAAAAGCTATTAGAATAGCTAAGAATACACATCTTAGAAACAGTGTTCGGAATACAGCAATTACAGCATAAACACGAAACATTTAATATGCACAAAAAAGTTAAAGAAGCCGCAATCTTATACAAACCTAGAAGAGTTGGGTGTTTGGCAGATAACCAAGGTAAACCACTGTTAACTGTGGAAGAAAAACTAGACACTTGGAAGGATTATGTGGAAGTAACTTTTGCAGATGAAAAGCAGACTACCATGAAGACACTGAATGCCAAACAGGACCCCCGATTATCATTGAAGAAGTCACGTCAGCTATTAAAAGAACTAAAGATGGTAAAGCGGTAGGGCCTGACGAGTTTTGTGCAGAATTCCTTAAACTTATGGATGAACAGGGAATAAAATGGATAACAACTGTATTCAACAATATATACGTAACTGGAAAAATACCCCAAAGCTGGTTAAAGTCGACCTTCGTGACCATAAAAAAAAGTAAATGCCAAGACATGCGAAGACTACAGAACAATTAGCCCAATGAGCCACTTACTTAAAACGTTCTTGAAAGTGATACACGGCAGAAGGACCTCTATTAAGTCTAATATTTTAGTCTCGACCAAGGAAGGTCTTGATGAAAGAAAAGTAAATAAAAATAAATCGGTTCCAAGGCAAACAACTCCATGGTTTTCTACAAAAGTAAATAAAAAATGTAAAGAAAAAAAATCTTATCTGAAATATATGTCAACCAAACAAAAAAAGGCATACCATAATTACAAGACAATTGTAATATTTTTGAAGCGAATTTCTATACTGGCGTTGTACTAGTTTTTTTTAAGATTTTAAGAGAAATTAAACATGCAATAGTAGACGATATTGGTACCCAACAACTCAAATCGTACGGTCATGTACAGAGAACATCTGAAGAACGTCTTCCAAAACAAGTCTTAATGTGGACCCCTCACGGTAGAAACAAAAGAGGAAGACCCCGCCTTAGTTGGCGAAAATCCATCAATAGAGAAATGAAAGACAAAGGCATAGAAAAAGACTCATGGATGAATCGAGAGGAGTGGCAACTGGGTATCGGAAGACGTAGGAGAGAATTTTAAACCGATCTTTGTCAAAATGCACACTGGTAGCTATATCTACCACCCTTTCCAGATTTCCTAACAAAAAAAAATTTTTTAAACATTTTTTGTCTTGTTAATGATGCATAATGGATTGCTTTTACTATTTAAAAGTATGTTTACAAAAAATAGTTCAGCCCATTAAAGGGTTAAATTTGGAAGCAATTAAAACAAACACTGGTATAATGTTCAGCCAATAAATAAAGTGTAAATCTGGTAAGACAAAAACGGAGTGTTAGATTGTTCAATACAGTCAGTCAAAGAAAAGTCTTACAAATAAGTTGATAATGATAACTATGATAAAATGACTATGAAAAGTAATCGTTTCAAATATCTTGAATCAGTTTCGCAATGCAATGATGAATGATGCCAATAAAACTGCAGTACAAAATCTCTAAAACAATCAAAAGATTAAGCTATTGTGTGTGTACTGAATATTTGATAATTAAAAAAGGAAGGCTAAAGAATGCATGTGACGAAAGTGAGAATGCGTAGATGGATGATTGCATAAGTTAAGATGGTTAAAAAACAATATTCACCCAATACGAAAAATTCTCTGATAAAGACAAGATAATGATAAGGAATAATGATTTTTATTCTGTGTTGTAACAATATATAAGATATAAGGTTTAAAAAAAATTAAAAAAAGCTTAATTAACAGATTTTCAAAATTTTAATAAAAATACTGTTAATAGTGTTATTTATTAAGTGACGGTAATATTTGATTTGTTTTATTATTCTTCAAATTTTTAATGCCTAAATATAATTTTATTTCGTACAAATTTTCTTCCACTTATACTTTTATTTAACTTATACAATTTTAAAAATATTTAATATTATATTATTAGCAGAACAAAAATTATACCAACCTTTTTAACGGCCATCTTTTCGACACTCAAAACTATACAACTATATACTAAACTATACAAAACTAAAAAAAATAACAAACTGTACAAGACTATACGAATATGTAGATTCAAATTTGGTTAAAGTCCAAATGTACAATGAAACTGAATAATCATAAGCAATGTATTGCTTAACATTTTTTGATGAAAATTATAAAAAAGACAATATTAGATGTAAATAGAAACAATACGTTATTGTTTTTTATAGCATCTCAGTTTCATTTTAGAACTGTTTTTAAAAATAGAAGTGACGGGCTTAATGTGAAACAATGACAAGCTTCAAAAAGGTCTTCTTCTTCTTGATGTGCTTATCCGTTTCGAATGTTTACGATCATCATGGCAATCTTCTTTATCTTATCTGCAGTAGCACGGAAATGCTGCACAGATGTTATATTGAACCAGATTTTGAGGTTCTTTAATCAAGATGTTCTTCTTCTTCCTAGACCTCGTTTTCCAAATATTTTTCCTTGCAGGATGGCTTGAAGGAGAGCATATATTAATTCATTTCGCATAATTTGTCCAAAAAATTGTGACATTCGAGATTTGATGGTGGTAATTACCTCTCGGTTCTTATTCATTCTTCTGAGAACCTCATTTGTGACTCGGTCAGTCCACGGGATCTTAAGTATTCTCCGATATAGCCACATCTCCAATGCTTCCAGTTTTCTGCAGATATCTTCGATCAAGTTCACGATTCAACACCATAAAAAAGGACAGAGAAGACGTAGCATCGCAGCATTCTTACTTTTGTACCAAGAGAGAGGTTGTGACTCTTGAAGAAGGCCCCCATCTGATTATCTAGCTTTTCCGATGCGTGCTCTAATCTTCTGGTTGTTGGTCCATTCTTCGTTTATTATGATGCCGAGGTAGTTGTAGTAAACTCAAAAAGGTAAATTGTGTTTATAAAACGTGGCAGAAATTCAATTTTGATTGAAAAACCAGAAATTATCTCGTGGCATCATCGTTATTTACGTGCAATTTGTAAATACCATGCAGAAGGATACAACATAGTGTATTTGGATGAATCATGGGTAAATATCGGGCACAGTGTGAAAAAAGAATAGGTTGACAAAACAATTACATCTCATCGCGATGCTTTTGTTCGTGATCTGACAGGATTAAAAGCTTCAACAGCTCGTAGTGCACGGTTTGTTTTATTGCACGCAGGATCTACCAGTGGATTTGTTTATGGAGCAGAGCTCATATTTTTGGCAAAGAAAAATACTCAGGACTACCACGACTAAATGGATGGACCTACCTTCGAAGATTGTTTCGAAAATAACTTAATGCTAAATTTGTCAGAGAAAACTGTTGTGGTAATGGACATAACTCCTATCACAGCAGAAAGTCAGAACAAATTCCCAACAGTTCAACACTAAAAAAAGATATTCAAGAATGGCTTCTGCCAAAGGAACTATTTTTTAAAGAAAACTACCTAAAATGCGAGTTACTTGATGTAGTCAAGACCTTCAAAGCAAAATATGACAGGTACATAATAGAAGATATTGCCAAAGAGCACAATGTAAAGATTCTGAGGCTCCCACCCTATCACTATGAACTCAATCCCATCGAAATGGTTTGGAGTGAAGTGAAACGGTATATAGCTGCATGCAACGCGAATTTTAAAGAAGAGGAAATGCGAAATTTAATTACAGCAGCGTAGCAGATCATTACGCCAGAGAAATGGAAAAACTACGTACACCACCTAATAGCAACAGAAAAACAAATGTGGGAAACTGACAATTTGTTGGATGATATTGAACCAATTATTATAAATATAAATAACGGATATAGTGATGACAGTGACGATAATAATGATAATGATGATAATTAAGCAGAAACTAAATGGGACAGCGATTGACAGAAAAAGGAACTAAATATAATGGTGTACAATTACGATTACTTACACACGAAATTAAATACAATGACTTCTTTTATTTTCAACTTATTTATTAGTTTTATTTTCGGATATTTCTACGTTTTGTTACTGCCAACATATACATTGCGGTTTTTAAAAGTCCTTCCCCCCTTAACTCTTTTTAACGCATTTCTTAATTTCTATTTTATTTTAATTTAACCCAAGTATGTCGTAGCAAGTATTATTTATGTTTGAGAACCACTGACAGAAGGAAGCCAGGCAGGGTTGTTAGTGGGCATTAGTACTTAAGCTACCCTCAACACAAAAGATGGATTAGGCTAAGTAGTAAGAAGTGACGTTTATTTTAATACAAGTTTGTAAAAAAGTATGGCATCGATGTTGTGTATTTACGTTGTACAGACTAGTCACTTTGAGACAATCTATATTAGAGGCGTAACAGCACTTGAATAAATTTCGCGCAAAAATGTATGCAGATATTCCTTGAAAAGGGCATTAATATCCTGCGGAAACGTTGAAAAAAGTAAATAAAATATGTCATAGTATCGTAGATAACCTTTAATATAAAGATAAGCATAAGAAATTATACTATATATGTATTTATAATATGCTCTGTATTTATCACTATTGATACACCTTATATGGCAAAGTACTACTTACATTAGATATTTTCATTCCGTCGAAAATGCTTCGGAAATTCTAGAACTCCACATATTACAAGTATGCATACAAATGACGGAAAAAGAAAAGCTTGGAAAGATAAAATGCCGTAATTGGGTGCACTAGAATTATATTTAACGAAATGGTTTTTACAAGTCACATACTTCAATAATTTCCTGATAAGGTCTAAGGACACTGACAAACATTGTGCTAGTTTACGTACGCGAAATGGCGTAGAATAGGAATAATGTGTAATAGTATAGGTTTTCGTATGTTTTTTTGGATTTTAATTATAATTTGTTTCAAAGTTACTATAGCCAGTGGTAAGTATTTGTGCTAATTTTCCAATTTGATGTAAAAAGACAGAAAATTACAGTAGAATCTAAGTGTGAACTGAAATCAGTCAAAGAAAAATTCTGTATTTTATCCTTTGGCCTTTTAACTTTTAACTTTTTCTTTTCCTTTATATAAGCAATTTTGATTGATCATTGGAGGGTCGTTTGCTCTATAGAAGGTTATCACTTACCTTTTGCGCGGTCAGTGAATCCTTCTTCTACAACTTGGTGGTTTGTCCCTTGCTATTGGAACGACTCTTGTATTTGCTATTTTACTGATGGGATTGTTCCATTCTTTTTTTTTTCTATCTAGTGTCTACTCGTTTATATTGTGTACATTATTATATTGTCCGGATCTTACCTCTCCTTATCCGGTCTCTCAGTATGTTTTTTGTAATTCTTCTGAATAATCTCATTTCTGCAGTTGACAGCAATCTCTGTGTTTTGGCTGTGTTGGGTCTTGTTTCTAATGCATATCTCATTATTGTTATCAAAACGATTGACAATAATTTGTTTTTTTTAATTTGCTATTAAAATATTATGCTTTTTTATCTGTGTATCTTCTTCTTCATGGTGCCATCTCCTCTAAGAAGGTTGGCAACCATCATGGCAATTCGCACTTTCGATGCCGCTGCTCTAAAGAGGTCAGCAGAAGTGCAATTAAACCAAGCTCTCAAATTGTTTAACCAGGAGATGCGTCTTCTTCCGCGACTCCTTCTACCATGTATTCTTCCTTGCATTATTAATTGTATCAAGTTATAACGCTCGCCCCTCATGACATGTCCCAGGTATTGCAGTTTTCTGACTTTAATTGTATTTAAAACCTCCCGTTCTTCTCAACACCTCGAAATTCGTGACTCTATCCATCTGTGCATAACATTTAACATAACATCTAACTGCGTATAAATGATTATAAATTTAAAAACTTCTTTTAACATCAACCAGAAGATGTTATTACATTTTTAAATTTGTTTATATTGGAAGGCAGTAGTTCAAGTTTCAACTTTCGCAACTTTTTCGAAGATAGAAAATCCTGAGTTTTGTTAAAATATTGCAATTTTATTGCCTACAGATAAATCTATGGTTCCTTTAACCATACGAAAAGATTCCTTAACATGATTAATCAAATCGATTGATTGGCAAAAGATCAAATTTTGTTTAAGATTTTTTTATATTTTCAACAAGAAATTTAAAATGTAAGCTTATGTATGCTAGATTCCGAAGTAAATTAGGTAATTGAACAAGGCTTTTACAATCTTCTAAAACTGGTGAAGTGAAATCTGTTGGTTCTGTAATAAAACTTGAAAATACTCCGCATAAAAAATGCTGCTTGTAACCAAGTGCCCCACCTCGTGATAACAGGTAAAAGGAGTAATGTAATATTACCCAGACCCAGCAAATTTACAATAAGATCTAAACACCTACTCGATCAATGAGGAAATAAAACAATATAGGACAAAATAAAAACAACATATATAAACAGAACAAATGAAACTTGAATCAATAAGAAATACTAAATTACCAGCCAAAAAGAAGTTATATAACGTCTCTTAAAAATGTTTAGCAAGGTTACTACTTAAAAGGGCAACATTTGCCTAAATACTGGAATGAGGAATAAGAATTAAACAGATTATTGAAAGCATTACAGGCGCTAGCAAAAGACAATAAAATGAAGATGCTACAGAAATTAATACAAAATACCACCAATACTACACAGTGATAGCTTAACTGTCGGCATAGCTTTATGTCATGTGATAGAAACTAAAGAGGGTCCTCTACTTCAAGAGAAGCGAGAGGAAAAAATGAAGAAGTCTGTCACCAAAATTCTATAAACAATTTGAAAAAAAAAGTGGAAATATATTTTCCTTCCATTCAAATAATGATATACAGTTCGGTATTTTTTGTTTCAAAAACATCTTGTCAATGTGTTCATAGTCTATTTATAGACGGTTGCAACAATAAAAATAGAAACAATGATAATAAAAAAACAATATAAGTAATGTACTTACCGTGTAAGTTGCCATTTTCACAAACACAGATCCATTTCTTTTTACAGTTATTCATTTTATACTCAAAAGTTCATTATATGGTAATATATTGTTAGTTTTTGTGTAATTTGCACAGCATAGTGAAATGAGACATATAATGACAGGACAAAACTATCAGGACAGGGCAAAATCCGAGGAAAGCGAAATGTGGGAAGACGAAGAATATCCTGGCTTAAGAACTTAAGGGAATAGTTTGAATGCAGTAGTGCAGAACTTTTTAGAGCGGCAGTCAACAGAGTCCGCATAGCCATGATGATTTCCAACCTTCGATAGAAGATGGAACTTAAACTGAAATATACCTTAACGCATTTAAGTTTTTTGCATTCCAAAGCATTTTAATATGTGCTTGTGATGAAAACAAAGAAAAAACTAGAAGATATCTAATTTTTGAATACGTTTCACACCTGTAAGCAGTTCCTGATTTAGCAAACAATAGCTGTTCAATTTTAATTCTTATTATTAAGGTGTAATATATAGGGTTGGAATAAAGTGTTGAACCAAATAAATGTATTTGAAACGAAAAAGATAATATATATATATATATATATATATATATATATATATATTATATATATATATATATATATATATGAATTTTTGCATGCAAGTGCAATAACATACAAAGCATCTGACGCCTTATTTTTTACTACTCTCTTTCGGTTTTAAATGGGACAACCTGTATATTTTTTCAGATTAAAAAAACTGGATATTTCTAATTCATATATACCAAGTTTGGTAAAAGAAATTTGTGAAAATGAGAAGCAAATCATTTTTCAGTTAAAGAATAAATATATTTATTTTTCAAAAACAATGAGAATAATAATTTTAGAAAATCACTTAAACTTACTATTCGTTGCAAGATATTTCGATTTAATTTTCTAGGTATAGTTGTATACAGGGTCGGACTTATGTACTGATACATTTTATCAAATTTACGGCAATCTCACGAAGTAAAAGAAAATACATAATATAAGTATTACTTTTATATTGAAATATGTATTTAACATATTTAAAAAAAAAAATTAAATAATTTTAAACTTAGTTATCGTCTACATTTAAATGTGTATTTTTATTCTAGCTTTTTGACATGCTCTATACATTTTTTCCAGTTATCTGCTGTAATATTATTACATTCATCATCATCATCATCAGGTAGCGCTACAACCCTGGGTGGGTCTTGGCTGACTGTACAACTTTTTTCCAATTTGTTCGATCTTCCATCAACTTAGGGTCAAATGGAATGTTCATTTTCCGGAGATCTGCTTGGCTGTTATCTCTCCATCGCATTCTGGGACGTCCGAGTGGTTTTTTGCCTGTGGGAATCTCCTCCCATACCAGTTTTACAAGTCTCTCGTTATGCAGTCTGTGCACGTGGCCATTTCTTGGACAATATCGCGTCATTGTAGAGTGCTTTTAATTCGATATTGGTTCTGATCTTATACTGGTTTGTGGTGATGTCATCGTAAGGTCCGAAAATTTTTATTTAAGTAGGTAAAGAAATAATAAATAAGACTTACTCACAATTAGTTTAATTTAACTATCAGACGACCGGTTTCGCTTTCTACAATATGCAAAGCATCTTCAGGTCTCGATACAAAGTTAAACAAATGCTGAAATGATAAAAACCCATATTAGGGTGTTGTCTAATAAAGATAAACAAAGTAGATGTTGGAATAAAAATATTTTATAACAATATGTGGGCCTTACCTTGTCTGTTTAAACTTTTAAAACTTTTATACCTTTTTATTCAACTTACTCTTTTTGAAATAAAACCACAGACATGTAATATTGGCATAATTATTGTAATTTCCAACATCTACTTTGTTTATCTTTATTAGACAACACCCTAATATGGGTTTTTATCATTTCAGCATATTGTAGAAAGCGAAACCGGTCGTCTGATAGTTAAATTAAACTGATTGTGAGTAAGTCTTATTTATTAACTTTGATGGTACACAAGGCAAATATCGAACACAGTATTTAATTAAATCTTGCCCAAGTACTTTTGATCACAAGATCATCCTCAGGGGCATTTCGTCAATTGTGGCCTATCCGCAAATAACCGAATGTCATACATGTAAACTGGGACATAACAAATACAGACAGAATGATTCTGTCTCCGGTTTCTATAATATAAAAATGTAGCTTCTCCAATTTAAATTTTAAAGTGTTTGTTTGTCTTTAGTGTATTTGTTATGTCCCAGTTTACATGTATGACATTCGGTTATTGCTGGATAGGCCACAATTGACGAAATGCCCCTGAGGATGATCTTGTGATCGAAAGTAATTGGGCAAGATTTAATTAAATACTGTGTTCGATATTTGCCTTGTGTACCATCAAAGTTCATTTATTCGAACATTCAACCTTATATTGTCTTATTTATTATTTCTTTACCTAGTTGAAATGGACTCACACAAGCAACACATTCATGATGTTATTTAAGTATTTTTCGTTCAAATCGTCTGAGCTTTTTCTCGTTTGCTTTGGTCATGGTCCACGTTTCACATCCGTATGTTATTACAGGTCTGACGATGGATTTATAGATTTTGATCTTTGAACTTCTTGTAAGGTTTTTTGATTTTATGAGCTCATAAAGTGCGAATAGACAACGGTTTTCAGGTTCTTCTTCTTCAAGTTCCACTCCTATCGGAGATTGGAAATCATTCTGGCAATTATAATTTTATTGGTTACTCGCCTTGAATAGTTCAATTGAACTGCATCCAAACCATTCACGGAGATTTCGTAGCCACGAGATTTTACGTCTTCCTACGCTTCTTCTACCTTTGATTTTACCCTGCCTTATATTCCTTAGTAGTTCGTACTTTTCACCTCTCATGATGTGCCCCAAGTATTCCAATTTCCTGATTTTTATGGAATTTAAAACTTCACATTGTTTTCCTAGTTGTTCGAGAACTTGCTCGTTTGTTTTGCGATCCATCCATGATATTTTCAAAATACATCGGTAACACCACATTTCGAATGCTTCTAGGATTTTAATGTTGGATTTTTTAAGTGTTCAAGCTTCAACTCCATACAAAAGGGTAGAGAAAATATAACATCGAAGTATTCTTATCCGGAGCGATATATTGATATCGCGACTACAAAAAAGTTTTCTCATTCTATTAAAGGTTGACCGCCCAATTTCAACGCGGCATCTTATTTCTTTTGTCTGATCAGTATCTTCTGTGATCCATGCTCCAAGGTATTTGTACGAACAGAGGTTTTCAGGTTGGATTATGTCTTTTATTTCTTCAGTAACATCGTTGTCAGCTGTGATTACGGCCCCCAGATACTTAAAACGTTGTACTCTTTCGAAATTGAATGTGTTGATCGTCACATTTTGTCCTTTTCTATCTCTTCGTGTCGTTCTATTTATATACATATATTTCGACTTCTCTTCATTAATCTTCAGCCCTACTTCACTTGTTGCTCCTTCTACCTTGTTGAAAATATCTTTCGTGCATAGGATGGAGTCTTCAACGAGATCTATGTCATCTGCATATGCGAGTATTATTACATTTGGTCTTAATTAAATTTACAACAGTCGGAAATTATGTAGGAGAATTATGATTTTTCCTCGCATTACTTTTTATTTGACACCACAACAATTCTATTGGATTCAGTACACAATAGTAAGGACGTAATCTTAATTCTTTATGGCCATAATTCTCAGATAGCCTGTCGATAACATAATTTTTTTCACATTTAACTAGTTTTAACAGTTCTATAAGTTGTTTTTTTTTGTGTAAGAATCCATAAAATATATTTCATGTTTTGATAAAAATTCTTGAATTTCATCTTTGTTTGGAATTTTACTCTTTACTCCATAATGATATGGAGCATTATCCAAAGTAATAACGCTATTTCTTTTTAATCTAGGTAGTAATTGCTGCTCAAACCACTTTTCAAACAAAGTAATGTCTTTGTGTATCTTGATATAATATATTGTATATCTTGATGATAATCTAAACGACAATCACTTACAATCTTAGCAGATACTAATAAAGTATCTTCTACCCATCCTGATTCTCCCCCACAATGTAAAATACAAATTATATTACTTGTAGAGGGAAGAACATTGGTGACGCAATTTTTACTACCATCGGTCCAACATTTTTTAACTATATCATGGGTGTAGAACCAAGTTACATCCAAATAATACAAGTTCTTCCCTTCACTCCTAAAAGACCTTAGACTCTCCAAATAATCAAACATTTACTTTATTAAACGGCTGGATTCATAATTGCCTGCCATTTATTCACTGTTTTAAACATTTTAAAGTTGGTTAAGGTATTTACCGAATCTTCTTCTTCTTCAAGTGCCATCTTCGTTCCAAAGGTTGGCGATCATCAGGGCTATAAGTATTTTCGAAACTACTGACCGAAACAATTCTTTGTTGCTACAGCTATATTCCCGTAGATTCTTTAGCCAGGAGTTTCGTTTTCATCCTATGGACCCTTTTCCTGCTATTTTTCCTTGCATAATTATTCGAAACAGTTCATATCTTTCGCCTCTTGTAATGTGTCCCAAGTATTGCAGTTTTCGTTTTTTGATCGTAAATATGATTTCCTTTTCTTTATTCATTCTTCTCAAGACCTCGACATTTGTGAATCTCTCGGTTCATGCTATTCTCAGGATTCTGCGATATATCCACAGTTCAAATGCCTCTAATTTTTTGATATCAATCTTATTCAACGTCCATGACTCCATTCCGTAGAACAGCACAGAAAGTACGTAACATCTCATCAGGCGAAGTTTCATTACAAGGCTCAAATCTCTTCCGCAGAACACTCTCTTCATTTTAGTGAATATGGATCTGGCTTTTTCTATTCTTATTTTAATTTCTGCTGAGCTATCGTTGTCTTCATTTATAAAAGGGCCTAAATATTTATATTTGCTAACTCGATCGATAATTTCATTGTGTAAATATAAATTTTGGACATTTTGTGTTGATTTCGATATTACCATAAATTTAGTTTTCTTTATGTTCAAAGATAGTCCATATTCTTCGCTTCAGTCTGCTATCTTATTCACCAATGTCTGTAGCACTTCAAGTGTTTCTACGATCAGAACGGTGTCGTCGGCAAATCTCAGATTGTTTAATCTAACACCATTTATTTTAATACCTACGGATTGCTCAGAGAATACATATGATATATTGTTTCCCGTATAGCTGATAAATGAAAATTCGGTGGGCAAAAAATACTCGATGGGCACCGGAATCCTTTCTTTTTTTGCAACACTGTACCTACCGTCTTTTATAAGTTCGTACACAGTGGATCGTAGCACTTGTGTCAAAAAAATCGTCTTTTTGATCGCTTCTGAATTTAACCACCGTCGAAAGAAGACCTAAGAAAAAATATGTAATTTTACTTTTTAAGGAATTCTGCTCGGATTCTGTAATTTTTATGAATTAAATAATCGGTAAATATGATTAACCTTCCTAATACCGGGTGGGGCGAATTCTCGCCCCTGGTACAACATTTTTAATAATATTTGGAATTACGTTGAATCAACCGCTTTGACGGTTTAGGACATCGGTGGTTGATGTATTAAGAGCACAAAGAAGTAGTAAAACCCAAAATACGCGGTAATTTCAGATAACGATTTCGCGGAAATGTACGTGTGGCGAGAATTCGCCCCAAGTGGTATCGAGTGTTTTCACGTTCTACAAATCTGAGTTTATCAGCTTAGATAAAAGTTTTGGAAAATGGTACTAATGACTGTACTAATTACTTGCTATGATGTGCAGTCGAAGTCTTTATATATTTATAGCTGTTGATGGTAATGTGTTTCCTTTATCTTTGAAATTCCATTCTTGCTATTACACAGTGGGAATTTTTATAATTCCCCTATTAGCATAATTTTGTCTAGATTCTTCGAAGCATCACTTTTTAGTTGGGATTGTCTCTCTAAGAATTTGTAAAGTGCAATTAGCCCTAAGTACGTCTGATATCTGATAACTGCTAAAATTACCTGCTTATTTGGTGAATTTCTGAATGTGACTGTCTTCTCTTCTGTCTTCTGTCTTTGTTAAATTGATACTAAAGAAAGTATACAGACAATAAAGAGTTGAAAGAATGGTAAGAATAATGAGACACATAGAATCCTTGTGCTTAAAAGTGAACCAAACTACTGGAGTGAGAAGTCGCCCAACCTGCTACTGATCCTTTTAAAATTCACCCGGTATTAGGAAGGTTAACTAAAGAGTATTTTTAATAAGTACTTGACGTTGTAAATGTAATTGTAATTGTAATGTAAGATCAATATAACAAGAACGTTTTTGAGGTTCAGACTCGTTTTCACTTCCTGAAATAGTGGCAGGAATGTACAGTAGATCGTCACTAATCATTTCTCTCACTCATATTTATAGTTATTAAACTGACTTATGTTCTAAATAAACGACAAAATAAAAATAAAGTTTTTTTTAAATAAACGTTCTTCTCACAGAAGCTGATTTAGTAATAATTTGATATTAAGTCATCATTTTCCTTTTACCTGAATAAAATTTCAAGAAATTTCCTAATCTCTTATAAACACTAACTTTACGTACCTAGAAATTTGTAAATAAAAATGTAATTAACTGATTAAATTTAAATAGGTATACAAAATTATGCTTAAAATTTTATTTACCAATCGTTAACAACTCAAAATTGAAATACCTACCTAGCTTCACCTACTTTGTACCATTTAGTAAAGTACCTTTAAGCTTTGGATAGAGTTTAAAATTGAACCTAATGTAATGAAAGACAAGGGTAACTACTCGTTAAGCATTAAGGAGTACAGTGATTTTATGCTTGATATCGACCCAGTCTCTTGATGTGGGGAATTCCATCCGAATTATCTTGCAACGGATAGTATATCTTAAGTAGATAGACAACAGACTCCATAATGCATTCGGGGAAAATTGTGACGTCGGCCTCTTGTCAAGGATATGAGGTAGGGGAGACCATGGTAACATGGGAAACACGATGGTGCACAGCATGATTAAAAAACTGGTATACCGTACGTATAATTATCTGCTGAATCCCAACCACTACATTCTGAATGAGCCCAATTCGAACACATTACACAACGGTACCAAATTTCTTTGTCTCGTCCGTATTCACCGCACACCAAACACTCCTCATTTTCTAATGTTAGATCTACATCATATAATTCATCATCATCACAAATCTTACTCTCATCATAACTGTCAGACTTAAAAGCATCTAATGTAAGTTTCTATAGGCGACTTGTAAACAGGTACTTGATACAACTAATCGACATAATATTTTTTATTTTCATTGACTTTTAGAGTTTAAATGCGGAAGACCTTTGGGTGTAGAATTTCGTTTGTTACCAGAAGACAGAATCGTTGCTGGTTACGATATTGGTTATTACAGATATCCCTGGTATGCAGCACTTATTAGATTTAAAATGGTATCCTGCGGGGGGGCTCTTATAGCACCTCAGACAGTTTTAACAGCTGCTCACTGTTACAAGGACTTTTTGAAGGCAGCTAAGTAAGTAATTGATGAATTAGAATTTTTATTGCAAATTAACACCATTAATTAGCAACTTTAGGCAAATATAAAATAGTCTGTCACTTTGGTAGTAATGTGAACTATCAATTAAGCGATATTCCAAAAATTATTAAGTACAAAAAATCATAAATTGAGATTTTAACTTCATCGTATAACCCAACCCCATTCGACGGACTATTTAAACCAAATTTTATGACAGTTTGATAACAAAAAAGAAATTTTTTGGTACCAATATTTCAAAAATCGATTTTTTACAATTATACTGGTTTGATTCACAGCGACGATATGTAGCGAAATTATTTATTTTTAAATTTCTATTGTTTTAATGTTTTTTTTTTAATTTGTTAATTAATATGCACATATATTTATACACACTATTATTTCTAGAAAAGGGTATAGACCACTGGAGTCCTTCTATACAGTAAGAATGGGCATTTACAATATTTGTCAATCGGAATCAACTCAAAGAGAATACAAAATCGAAAAAGTGATCATACATAATAACTATTTCAAGAAAATGCCTTATTATGATATATGTTTACTTAAACTCTCTGGAAATACAGATCAGTATCAACCAATTTGTTTACCACCACCTAGTAAGTATGTAATTTAGCAAAACATTCAGAATTGGCACGACTTATAATTTTTTGTGTTATATGTTTGTGTGAACTGTATTGTAATTTTGATTATGTAACGTAAATTTTGCAACGTAGATTTGTGTTTTTGTGTATTGTGTGTTGCATATGTATTGTGCATAAGATTGTAGGTGATGTTTTTCGACCTCCTACTAGCATATGCGCCGATCCCACTACATACAGAATGGGCAAGTAAATACGGCTCTGATGGGATTGGTGTGTTCTACGTAGAATTCAATGGTATGGGTTGAATTTTTCCAAATATAATATTTTTGATAAACACGGAATACCATGTTCATTGTTTAACCAACTGTCTGATACATTTTTCTCGTAAGGGGGGCGATCCAAATGTTCGAAGGATACCTCGGTCCTAGAAGGTTGGCAGAACCACCTTCCAGCCTCGGTTATGCAAGACTCCTCCAGCGTGGCCACGATCATATCCGAAGACGCGCGCTAGGCTTGTTCGGACACCAACGTTGTCAATGCCAGAGATCTATCTGCTAAAAAAACACCCTCCTCAGCGGTGAATTACCGGCCGGATCTCCCTGATTGGGACGCAACATCCGCACGAAATTCACCCGATCTTTCATTCACGCACAATTCTTGTGCATTCTAGCACTTTCTCACTACGACGGAATTCTTCTCTCCCTCTATTCCTCCCTATTCATGTTAAATCTCATCCCTTCTCATTCTACCTAATCTTCTTGCTTGGTCCTGGGCACCCTGCCTACCTTCGGGTCGCCTTTCTTAAATAGACTCTTTCTATCTGCTCGGTTGAGCTGTTTTCTGTACGCCTTTGTTAAAACTGCAGAACTCCAGACAGGCGCATCGTAGAGGACGATCGATTTCACAACAGAATGAAGGGCCCTCCTCCTCTCCGTTTTGGGTCCTCCGATTTTGGGCATGATCCTTCCCAATGCTGCGTATCTCACCACAGACCTTTGAGTCACTGCTTTTACGTGCTCCCCTCACTTTCCATTTTGACTCAGAGTCACCCCTAAATATCTCACGCATTTCTTTGGAACCACTCTCTTTCCTGCACATTCAAATGTTATCCCGTCCCTTTTCCTTGGTCTCTTGAGAATTATAGCCTCGGTCTTACCCGCAGCCAGTTCTAGCTCATGCATTTTTATCCATTCCTCAACTTAGTTGCATGTACGCTGTGCACTAAAGATAAGGTCATCCATGTCCCGCGCCACTACCAGCATAGCGAAGTCGTCCGCAAATGCGAATGAAGTTACACCCTCTCCGTATTGTTGGCTCACAACCCCGTCATATACTACTCCTTTTTCTACCACAATTTTCATCTCTGACAAATAGTCGGAGACCAAATTCATCAAGTATCTCGGACATCTTCTCTCTTGTAGAACCTTCATTACCTCTTTCCATTTTAATGTGTTGAAAGCATTCCAAACGTCAAACAACAGTAGGATTGCCCCCTCTGGTTAACCCCCACCCCGCGTAATTCCCGGAAGTTTCTACTGTTCTTTCTTAAACCGTACTGCCTGGATGACAGCCCGCATGACTCTTCAATCACTGTGTCTATTCGCCCTCTTACGACATAGCACGACAGAAGGCAAACAGGTCGTTACTTGTCTTCCCCTTTTGGGAGTAGCACAAGCCTCGAGATCTTCCAATTTGCCGGAAATCGCTGAGTTTCAAGCAGTACATTCATGTGGTCCAAAAGCCACGTCGGCTCCATACTGCCAATGCGTTTCACCGCTTCTGGTGGTATTCCATCGAGTCCCGGAGCCTTTCGTGTCTTTAGGGCATTCAACGATTCGTTGAGTTCGTCTACGGTAAAAGGTACAACTCGCTCAGCTTCGACGTGCCACTGCACTCAATGCCAATGGCCGTGTGCAAATAGCTCTCGGGTAACCTCAAGCTTCCTGTCCAGTGGCATCTCATACAGAGGGTACAGCTTGAACTGCTTTATTACGATTTTGTACCCCTGACCCCAAACGTCATCATTCAACTTGTCACACAATTATCTTCAGTGCCTCTTCTTCTCGGCTCGGATCTTCCTGTTCAGTTCCTTCTTTCGAGCATTGTATACCATATCTATTCTGCTAGCTTCGGTTACTTCACCTCTACCTTTTGCCCTTGTAGCCTGTCTTCTGATGGCAATGCATTCCTTCCTCTTATTGGCGATCTCTTCGCACCCCCAATAAGGCATTTTTCTTTTTTCATCTACTCCGTTTATGCAATTTCTCATAGTCTCTCTTATTATTGATTCAAGTCCTTCTGCGGATGGCAATTGGCATCTTCTCCTCTCTATCAACCATCTAGAATACTCATCAAACGCTAGCCAGTCCATTCTATCTCCACATCTGCTTCCGTTTGGTCGCTGATGACCACGTGGTAATCCCTACTCCGACGATCGAAAAGCCAATGTAGCGGTGTTCTGTAGCACTGTCATCCGGCAGCACGGTCCAGTTTCTAATTTTCCTCACCGCATTCTGAGTGGCACAGGTGATATCGATATACGAATGCGAATTTCCCCTCACGAACGTTAGTTCCTGACCATTATTTAAGACAACTAAGTCCAGAGTTCCTATCCATTCCATAAGCATTTGTCCGCGAGCGTCCGTTCTGGGAGAACCCCACTCCGCCGCTTTGACTTTGAAGTCTCCCAGCACTACACACTCTCTTCCCAATAATCTTACCTCATTCGTAATCTCCTCCAGTCTACTTTCATAATTCTCCACTTCCCTTTCACGCTTACTCCCCAATTTGTTGCTTAGTCAGTAACCCCTACCCTTCTTCCACCTTCACCTCTTGCTTTTCTGATAATTCCCCTGAATTTGGGACACCAAGTGGACGTAGATATATGACCTTCCTCGTCACAATTAAAGCACTGTCTGATACTAACTCATGTATAACGTGTAATACTGTTTTTTTTAGTTTCCGCCATTTTGTTATACCGAAAAATATCAAATTTGGAAAAATATACACTAGATTTTACGCGAAACCTATATAAATGTTTTTTTTTGTTAGAAAATAAGTGAAACCAACCCCCTTGGTTCTAAGAACAAAAAAAATCAATTTCGCCGGTTAGCAAAACAGAAGAGGACTAGAAAATTTTTGGATTTTGAAAGGATAAAGAATATTTGTTGATACTAACTGACGAAAATATAAAACTCAATTTAAATATTCTTTTTATTTAGGACGACGTTTAAATTAGGGCCAATCGGGGAGTCGAATTTATTTTCCTATGCCGTACGTTGTGGGATCGGCCAATATGCCTGCTGCTACTCTCTATTATACAGTGGGTGATCAAATTATTATGATCACTTCAAAAAACTTTGTATTTTGCTGTTTAATAAAGAATAAAACTGCATATAAGCGTCTAATGATGTGAATATAATATAAAAATAGATCATAAACACGTTTCTTTTACAAAATTATAAAATATTTTTTTTCTTTGACCTTAAATAACAATTTTTTTTTAATATTTTGTGTGACCTCCTTTAGCTTCGATGGCAGCTTTGATCCTCCTTGGCATGCTTTGAATGTTTCTCAGGCAGTCTTCATTTATTTTATCGTTTCTGTGCCAGGTGGCAATGAGTCTCTCAATTAACTACTGCTTATTTGTGACAGTTTCCTGGGCAATCCACCTCTTCATAAGCTCCCATAGATTTTCGATCGGATTGAGGATTGGGGAATTACCTGGCCACTTCAGTACTTTAATTTTCTTTTTTTCCAGATACGATGTTACTGTTTTTGCCTTATGGTACGGTGCTGAATTGCGCACAAAGGTAAAATCCTCCGATTCGCCAAACCAGTCTTTGATTTGTAGCATGAGCGTTCTTTCCAGAACTTCAATATACTGATGTTGATTCATCATTCCATTCACAATGTACAACCTCCCTGTGCCCATATTGCTGATCACAAATCATACATGATCTTGAGAGAATGCGTTACTCGCTCCACTATGCAATCCTTGTGATATTTTTCATCCACTCGTCTTCGGACGAAGGCCGACTTATCCATGATTATCTTCACTGTAGACTCATCGGATAAACAAACCTGTAAATAAAAAAAACTATATGATTTTTTTTAGGATAAAAACAGTGGTTATAGGGATTTAAACTTTAGTAGTGACGTAATTTACCTTATTTCAAGTTCTTTGGCCCATTCCAGTCTCTTTTCATCATTGCGATGGTCAACTTTGGTTTTTTGACAGGACGACATGATTTGAAACTTTGCTCAGCAAGCCTTCTGCGGACTGTCATGTCAGAAACCAGAATCCCAGCTTCACGAATAAGTCCCGTGAGGATTTTTCTTGGCTTCTTTCTATTGTTTACGAAGATATCCCTCATTTTTCTTTCGTCTCTGTGTGTATCAGGGGTTTGTTGGTATCAGTATTTTCTTGATATTGCTCACTGTTGCTTGCGCTACTTGGCATTGTTGAGCTATCTGACGTTGGGCAAGCTTTGTATTCAATAAATTTATCTCACCATTTTGGACACATGGATATCTTTAGACTTACCCATTATGATTTTCTTCTCAAAAATCTAAATGTTTGAAATGTCTTTAAATAAAACTGATAGTTTTTTTTTCACTAACAATCACCAATAAATAAAAAAATAATAAAGTAATAAAACATGCTATAAAAGATAAAACGATATTAATCTTAATTTAATAACAATACAAAAACATACATACAATGTGTAAGTTGTCACATAATTTGACACAAATGACAGTTGTAAAGCTGTAAACGTCAAAAAAGTAAGGTTATTAGTGACAAAATATATTGGCATGCCTTAATCGTATAGCAGCATATGATTTTATTATAAAATTTTTGAACAAATTTGAAAAACTTAAATTTTTGTGACTGATCATAATAATTTGATCACCCACTGTAGGTATATTCTTATTGCTGACTTTTTTTAGACTTTGTAAATGATAATTGTTTTCTTTTATATTGTGTATCTCATGCATTATAATTTTTTTGAGCATATAAACAACAAGGCGAAAATTTTATAAATAATCATCATTCATCATTATCAATCTCTTTTACGCTTTATAGTCCGAAAGAAAACTATATAATAACCCCTTACTACCTTTAAATTGAAAACAAGCACATATTAAGTTTTTTAGATTTAAAAAAAAAGCCAATCGACGCAACTGTTCCCGGATTGGGTACTTTGAGGTATCATGGAGCAATGCCTTGTACAGTACATGAAGCTAGATTGTTAATATACAACGATACAGTGTGTCATGTTATGATGAATAATACAGGCAACGATGCAAGTATAATGGAAAAGTCATTTTGTGCTGGATATTTACAAGGAGGAATTGACACCTGTCAGGTATGTACATTTTATTTATCCATGCATTGATGAAAGTCCTATATAAGTACCTCCAAACACTTTAATTTTCACATACACGAGGATAGACTGATATTAAACTAGCCTTTAATAGGTGGCGCTATTTGATATCGAATTAGTTTCGGTGTTGACATTTGCTATTCATGACATGTCGTCTGTCAAAATTTTAAGTTTTAAAAACAATTAGTTTAGTTTAAAAGCCGTCAAAAGCAAGCAAATTTTGTGTTTTCGGAGAAATGGAAAATGTCGAATATCGTTCGGTGATTAAGTTCCTTCACAAAAAGGGTAAAACAAATGTTCAAATCAAAGCCGACCTGGACGAAGTTTCTGGTGAGGTTGCACCTTCGTTACCAACAGTAAAATTTTGGAAAGCTGAATTTGTTTTGTGGTCGTACGAGTGTTTTTGATGTTAAGCGTCCCGGGAGGCCAAATGAAGTCCCCATCGCCGGAAATGATCAACAAAGTCCATGACATGATTACTGCAGATCGTCGAATTAAGCTCTGCGAGTTAATAGAGGTCGTAAACATTTCCTACAAACGCGTACACAACATCATTCACCATGATTTGGACATGAAAAAGCTATCCGCGCGATGGGTACCGCGTTTGCTGACAATCAATCAAATGCAAAAACGTGTGACCACTTCGGAGACGCTTTTGGCGATGATAGGGCGCGTTCCGAAGGATTTTTTTCGCTAATTTATCACCGTTGATGAAACCTGCGTGCGTTATTACACACCGGAAACCAAAGAACAGTCGAAACAGTGGCGCAAATGCGGCTAAGGGCTGCCGAAGAAGGCAAAGAGTGCACATTCGGCCAGCAAAGTTATGGCGACTGTTTTCTTGCATGCGAAGGGCATCATCCACATTGACTACTTGGAAAAAGGAAAAACAGTCAACGGTGAGTACTATGCAGCATTATTGGATCGATTCGATGCCGAATTGCGTCGAAAACGCCCCGGTTTAGAACGCCGGCTCACCGATCGGCCGTCGCCATCGCAAAATTACACGAATTGGGCTATGAATTGGTTGAACACCCACCGTATTCCCCAGATCTTGCCGCCAGCGATTTTTTCCTGTTTCCAAACCTAAAAAAATGGCTCGGAAGATGCCGTTCCGCAACAAATGATGAAGTCGTCGCTGAAACTTCGGCCTCGGAACTTCTGAAGACCTCGAGCAAAAGTACTATTCGGATGGAATAAAAAAATTGGAACATCGTCTTACTAAGTGTATCGAGCTAAAAGGGGACTATGTTGAGAAATAAATCGATTTAATTCCAAAAAACTTGTTTTTTCTATCAAAGGCTAGTTTTATATCAATCCATCCTCGTATTATACAGGGTATTTCACGACAAGCTTACACTATCTATATATCGAAAACTATTTACAAGATTAAAAGTTAAACTGGAACAAACCATGAAGTGGAGATATTCAGGAGTGGCTAGTATACCTGTTGAATACAAAGCACGTGGTGTTCGTGTGTATTAAGGTATAAAAAATGCTTATTAAAAGCTTAAAATTTTTATTTTAAAGAAGATCTTTTCGGAATTGAATCATTCCATCATCAGTTTAATAAAAATGTTGTCAAAAAACATTGTATGGCCACATAAAAACATTGGAAGGACATCCGTATTAAAAAACAATCCTCATGGTATTTATAAAGGAAAATGCAATAGACTTTTGATTAATAAAAACTGAAAATGGGGGCATCTTACATGACCCCTGTAGCTGGTGAGGTTTTATCGACTTACATTACCTTATTAAGGGTTTGCAAGCACGTACTAAAGTTTAGAATGATTTAGCTCTCTTTGTGCCGTGTACCGCTCACTCTATAAATTTGTTTATCCAAAATGCAGCAAATTGTTCCTTGGAAGCAACATGCCTCATTTTTTTATGTTGGTACAAGCTATCTACAATTTTTTCTCCGTGTCTACACACAAGTGAGAGTTATTGTCTTGTGCAATAAAGGATTCGCCTGAGTCGGACAGATACTATTAGCTAAAAGAGTAAATACAACCCGTTGGTCTTTTCGTTTTGATGCCGTAAAAGCATTAAAAAGCAATTACGGTTTGATATATGATATACTTATAGGATATAAATGAGAACAATGTAGTAAGAATTGAAGCAGCTTCTCTATCGAAAAAACGTGATTTGTTGGAATATTTATTGGATTTATTGGATTTGTTGGATAATTGGATAATTTTATCATTCTGGTTTGACGTTACACAAAGGTTTAATGAAGTGAATAAAGCAGTACAAAAGGAAAATATGGATTTAAGCACAACCGCACATCTGTTATCATCTTTAGCAGATTACTTTGATTTCTCACGTGATCGTTTTAATCACTACGAGGCCTTAGGAAGGTTGTTAACAGGGAATGAAAATTATGCTGAGAAGAGGATTATTAAAAAATTGCAATTAGGATAAAAGAATCTGTAGGCAAGATTAAGCCAAAAAGAAAAAATGCGAACACAATGTTGCGTTTTTATAATAGACAACCTTAAATCGGAGATTATTCGCGGATCTGATAGTTATAAATATTGTTTAATAGCATTTGAATTTTTGTTTAAACTAAAAACTAAGGAAGATGAAGATATTTTCAGATCGGCAACCAAATTACTACACAAATACAAGGAAGATTTGGACGAGTATTTTCCAGAAGAATGTGTTTATTTAAAGCATTTTATAACGTCCCTTCCCCAATTACAAATAGACACTCCTTTAGAATTGGTACAAGTTTTATACGAAAATAAATTAATATCTTCATTTCCAAACGTTAATATTTGCCTGCGTATGTTTTTCTCCATAATGGTCGAAAATGCAAGTGGCGAACGCCCTCTTTCGACACTAAAAAGGGTAAAAACTTACTTAAGAAATTCAATTTCCCAAAAAACTTTGAACTGCTTAGCAGTTTTATCCATTAACGAGGACCTGCTAAATGAATTAAATATAAATATCATCGAAAACTTCGCTTCAGTTAAAGTAAGATAACAAGCTTTTCTGTAGTAAAGGTATTTGATTACTTACCTCATGTTATCTGTTTGAATGTTATTAGGTACATTTTTATTTTACTTTTTGAATTTCGTCCTTAGTTTTTTTTTTGTATTTTGTTAGTATTCATTTAAGCTGAAAACCAAAAAAGTATTAATTGTTTTCCTTATAAACTTATATTCAAAATGTGTTTTGTTGAATTGAAATAAAGTTAAGAAGTATTTTTGAGCCTGGCGGCAACCGTATCAGCATCTGGCGGCAGACTGTGTTAAACCAACACTGACTACAACGGCTTAAGAAAAACAGTGCAAAATTGCCAGATTATCAATATTACAGCATATATAAGCCTATAAAACATTTCGGTACCATATTTATTTAAAATTAACTTCAATTTCTCCAATAATCTTCTAGGTAGGATAAGAGGCAACGTTGAAGAAAAATAAGCAATATACTTAAATAAAAATTTTTCAATTATTTACATAAAACAATGTCACTATATGTGCAAGTTGTCAATTAATACAAACTATCAAAAAACGCGTTTCTAATTCTTTAATGAAGGTTGCGACATAATATTAGCATGTAATTACTATATTTACATATACTTACTATAGTACCAAACATTTAAATTAATTCATAAAATTGTACCATAGACATCTGTGTGTATATACTTATATATTTGAGTTTTTTATCTAATATCACATTAGATTAAAAATTGGTATAAAGTACCGTTTAATTTAAATCAGTTCAGTGCTTGATACAAGAATAGTATATAGCTTCAGTGCAGTGTAGCAATGATCGAGAATTACTGTAAGTCATCATAATTAATAGTATCTTCAATAATCTGGGCGAATCTACTTTCAAACATGTCTTAACCTGTAGTTAAGATTAACTACCGATTTAACTATTAAATTCAAGGAACATTTAATCATTTTATATGAACTTTCAATCAGTTTTTAAGATCTTTTTAATTATGAACATTTAATTCTCAGGTAATGATTAAATAACAGTGCGAACAGATAATCAACTTAACCAAGTGCGGTTTGGTTAAATTTTTATTTCTGAAATCTTTTTGTATCCTTTGAATTTAACTTTAATTAACTTTGTGATATTTGTTATTAATGTTTTTATTTACTGTATTATCTCGAGATACGCCCATAAAACTTTATTTGTGCATGATTGTATTATATTGTATTTGTAAAGGTATTTTCTAATTATAATTCTGTTCATTTCTATGTGTATACAACCATTGATCAATTGATGGTGCATTTTTTATTACTTTTGTGTACATTTAGCCGCATATATCATTGTGTTGTTGAATATATTGTTTTTGTTTTATGTATGAATTTTATTTGTCGACTCCTAACAAGTTTCCTGATATAACAATACCTCTGGATAGTTGCTTATTACATTAAATTATTATTATACCTTCGACCAGAAGAAAGATCAGGCTGATTAAGTTTTAAGTAGGTGGACGGAGTCCACCTATTATATTTATTATTTGTTTATGTAGGGTGTTAACCAAATTTATTTAATTATTAAATGTTAAATCTTTTCTTGGTTGATCTGTGCCTAATTATTCCTATCTTTTTCTTTTCTAAGGTTCTTAATTTTCTTAAACCCAAAAGTCTAAGTGGCGCCTTTTTGTTTATTTCTTGGTAATTTTTCCTCTATCTTTTGATTATTCTGTATCTTGTCTCTATATATCTTCTTCTACTTACTTATTTCGTCCGTTGGACCCATTCCCGATTTCCAAAAGCTAGTTTAGAACCCACGACTCGCTCTCCACCAACTATCTGGCTGCTCGTTCGCAGTGTCTCCATTGGTGACCTTTCTAGCACCATCCAAAAAAGGTTTCCGAGTTTACAAAATACGCTGCTCATGACGTATATGCATGTTTATGTTTATATTGACAATTCAGACATACATTATACATTTTAAAGTAGACGACTTTAAAATGATATTGCCAATATTGTTGAGTTGCGTTCCTGGGACGACTTAACTTGTAAGATAGTTCATTCATTTAACGTATCACACGCTCCAAGCGGACCAATCACAAAGGAAATCTGATGTAATGCCCTCTTAGCAATGCCACAGTGTGTGTTTTCTGTTTGAACATACTCGCTACCCCCTCTCCTTTCCAATGATATGTCATACGTAGCGATCCGACGAACTATTCTACATTCACCACAAAACTTCAAAGAATTTCGTCTGATATTGGTATTGCGTTATTAACATTATGACGAAGTTGTTTTACTTCTTCAGCATGCTCTGTAGGCCTTTTTATTAATTTGTCTTAACTTATTGTTGATATTATATCAATGAAAAACAGATTATATTTTAGAACCTATTTATATACTAATACATTCTTATTGTCTATTTAAGGGTGACAGTGGAGGTCCATTGCAATCGATGTCTCCAGAAGGTGATTTTGTTTTAATTGGTAAGTATATACAAATTTAATTCCAAATTAAGTGAAATTGCTTTTACGATATTACTTTGTCCACTACTACAGTGTCCTTCTACTCTTTTTATATTGTTGTTTGTTGTACCTATTCTTTTATCCGAGCGAGGTCGCAAATTTATTATTACTAAAGATGTGTTCTAATCTCGCAACATATCCTGTCTATTTCCATTTTGATGTCATAGTTCGTTGTAGTATGCATCATACTTGTGTTTTTGTCCAATATATGTATTTATTATGCGGTCTTGGATTCAAATTCCAAGCTAGCTCTCCATTTTTTTTTTAACTACCTCTAACGTATGTATGGAGTTTTTTGTCAATGTAAGCATTTCGGCACCATAAGTCATTACTGGCAGTACACATTTATTGTGTACTTTGGTTTTTCAATTCATCGATATGTTGCTTTTTTTTTCTCAACCTTGGGGGAAAGGGGGGGAATGGTGGCGGCTGGGGTAATGGTAGCATGAAATATTTACGGCCCAATATTATTTCGCGTTATTTTCGCGTGATATGGACGTTAACACATATATTTGCACAATTGTGAATTCCGTAAAAACAGGATCCAATGCAGCATATGCGGCCAATGGGCACACAAAGACTGTACCAGTTTCGAAGGCAAAATTTACGTTTGCGATTTCTGCATTTAATTATTTTTAAATCGGGGTAATAGTGGCAGTGGCCACTTTTACCCCTCGGCAGCGGGTAAATATGGCCACCATCAGAAGTGTGAAAAACCGTTTTAATTTTTTTTTTTGTTCTGTTTAAAAATTTTTCGTAAATAGAGTTTGAAGTACTAAGGTTTGATGTTTTATTTACGTTAACAGTATAATTTTTAAAGCTATGTAGCAGTATAAATAAACCAAAATGCTTAAGCGGCCACTATTCCCCCCTTTCCTGTATTTTTTTTCTGTCTCTATTTGCTATAATTTCGTATCGTAGATACTTGTATTTGTTGCCGTCTTTGATGATTTTCCATCTAGATATGTTCCCCCGAATGTCAAATTAGGCATAAAATTTTATTTTTTAATGATTTCAGGAGCCAATTTTTTTTGTTACCCGCTCCAGCTAATTTTTCAAAGAATGGGCCTCTTTTAAATTATCTGTTACAATGGCAAACATGTTTTGTCACATTTATTATTTCCACCATTTCTTGTGTATTTTGAGTAGTGGAATGGAAAACTGGAAGAGGTAAACCTAAAGTATTAAGATAGTACGCATTATCTGCCATTTATACGAAGTTAAAGCCTGGACAATTACGGATGCAACTGAAAGAAGACTTATCAGCTTTGAGATGTGGTGTTATCGAATATTGAGAAAAATTAAGTGAATTAATAATTTTTGAGCTTTCTTGTAGGTATCGTATCATTTGGTTTCCGCTGTGCAGCTCCTGGAATGCTAGGCGTGTACACAGATGTCTCACAGTATATAGACTGGATAGAAGAAAAGTCTGGCATCGATATTCCAACATATTCAAACTCTATTAGCACATCTGGAGAATCTGATTCTAAGCCTATTAAAAGACCAACTGGGAAACCTCCAAAGAGAATTAACGGTCAAGGAATTATTGGCGGAGGAGGTATGGTTTAGTAATTTGCTCTTTAATCATATGAATTGTACAGGAAAAAAAACCAGATATGTCATTTTTTTCCACGACTAAGTAAATTGAATTTAAATGTACAAACCAATTATGTTTGTTTCAAAAAGGGATTATAAAGAGGAGTTTACATAAAACATAAATTAACATTATTATAAAGTATTATTATAACTAAGGTTTTTTGGTTTAAAAAAACTAAAGTCTGCTTTATTGCAAAAAAATCTGCATCACTCACGGTTTTTCAATAACAAAAACAGCAATCTCACCTAAAACAGACAAAAACCAGCTGTTTTTATTGTTGACCCAAAAATGAAAATTAATGTATTTTTTATTGTTTATATATTTATCAACATATAAATAATTTAAACTTACTTTTAGAGATGAGCCAGGTTCTAGAAAAATGTCACTGCTTTTGGACTGCAAAAAAACATTTTATTTAAAAGTTTCTTATATCTTACCATCGTATACCGGAACAGTCAGCAAAAATTCTTTACATCTTAAAGCTTAGTTTTGTTCAAAGCGTTTTCATATTAATCAAGATAGTACTGGTCCATTGTATGTTGAACATTAGTAGATAAGGTGGCTATGATCAGATAATGTCACTATTTTCTTCAAACTCTGAGTTTTAAATGTGCATTTTTGTAAATATATTGTGTCTAAAAATAGTTTCCAATCATGTTTAATTGAACCAATAGTTCAATTGAACTGCATCCAAACATTCACTTAGATATCGTAGCCACAATATATTAATATCGCGAATACAAAAAAGTTTCCTCATTCTATTAACAGTTGACCATGCAATTTCAATGCGACATCTTATTTCTTTTGTCTGATCAGTATCTTCTGTGATCCATGCTCCAAGGTATGTGTACGAAGATATTTGTTCAATTTCTGTATTATCTAGTACTAGCTTAACTTTGATATTTTGTGCTTTTGTAAATACCATGAACTTGGTTTTCTTCAAATTTATTTTTAGTCCATAACCGTTGCAATATATATTTAGTTGTTCAGCAAGGTATTTTTCTTCTAGTGTTCTTTCTTCTAGTTTTCCAGTGTTCCTACCAGAAGGACGGTGTCGTCAGCATATCATATGTTATTAAGTTGCTCACCGTTTATTATAAGGCTCTCACTGACCTCGGCAACAGCTAATTCTGAGATGGCTTAACTGTATAAATTGAATAACACGGGTGATAAAATACACCCTTGGCGGACCCCACTGCGAATATGGTTATCCTCGGTCAGTTCATTTTCAACTTTCACTTTTGCTGTTTGATTCCAATAGAGATTACATATGATTCTAATGTCTCTACAGTCTATGTTTTTTATTTAATAAAATTTCTTTATGCTTCACTCTGTCAAATGCCATCTCAAAATCAATGAAACAGGCGTAAACTTTCAGATTTATATCTAAGCCTATCTGTGAAAGAACACTTACTGCAAACAGTGCATCTCGTGTTCCCAGTCCTTTCCTAAATCCAGTTTTTTGTATATATCAATAAATAATCTTTAATAAATAGTTTGGAGATATCCTTATGTGTACGATTATTGTAATTATTAAATCTCTTAACTTATTTTCGTCTAGTAATTTCATCACAGAATGCATACAAATCCCATTTAACTTTAACAAGATTTCAAATTCTACTCTCCAATGACGGCATGCGCGAACCCGACCGATTTTGAACTACGGGAAGATTCTACCTTGTTATTCATAGTATCATGACTTATTATATGCCAACACTACTATACTGAAATTTTTTGTTCCATGTTTAACATTTGCGGCTATAATCAGCTTGTACTTTCGGCACAGAATAATAAACAATCAAAATGCCCACTCTCAGATGACGCCTTTGAAGTTTTTCAGCACGCGATTGCCATGTTTTATAAGGAACACAGAACACAGACTCGGATTGAGAATACCATTATTTTGGTGTAATGGGTCTTTATTATCGGCATATGATTTGTGAGTTTATGTAATTGTTTATATATATATATATAATATATATATATATATATATATATATATATATATATATATATATATATATATATATATATATGTGTGTTTAATTATATCATATTTAATATAGTAGTATATTTATATTTATGTTGTTATATTTAACAATGTTAAAATAATTGCATAGAATGTCTATGACTGATGAAGTCAATTAAACCGGGTTAATTTTTCTATGCATACCACATAAATTTTCACTGAAGAACACTGGTTCCCTTTAAAACATGGCGGAACGTCTGCGCGAACGAAATGCGCGTACTTAATTTTCCATGGAGAGTGGGCATTCTGATTGTTTATTGTTCTGTGCTTTCGGTAAACTCAACCGTTACAAATTACAAAAAAAAATCAAGCAGAATTTGAGCCTCTTTTTGATCTAATATTTGTGGTTTTTCCTTGTTTATTAGTTTTATCTGGAATTCTTCAGCATTATCAACCCTTAGCTCTTTTGATTGATGTATTGTTCTAGTTGTGTGTAGTTTGAGCGCTGCTCATTTTTACAAACTTATGATCTGATCCACAGTAACTTCCAGGCATAGCTTTTACGTTTATTACTGAGAGCTACATCTACTTGCTTTGAAATTAGAAGTAAATAACAAATGATTGTCGACAATTTATGAAAGGTATTTATAAATAATGAGATCGTTATCTTACCTGTTATATGGTTTCGTATAATAAACCCTTTGAAATAAAAATACATTTAGAAGCCGTTATTATAGCCATTTGCAAGAGATAATTCCCTTTTAAATGTATAAAAGGTTTACCGTATCCTTATAAAATATTCTATAAACATAATACAGGGTGTCCCATAATTAATTGAACATTAGCTAATGGGTGATAGCTGACATCAAAATAAAGCGTTTGAGCTCGAATTGCTTAGGCAAAATGTTGCTAGTTTTCGTTCTACAGGGTGATTCATTAATATTTTTTTATATTATTTTTAGGAATATATTGAAAACTATTCAACCTATTTAAGTAAAATTTGGTATCTTGCTATTATTTAGTATTCTTAATATGAAAATGATATTAGTTTTACCAATGACACTAGGTGGCGCCACCTACTATAACATTAGTTCATTAATGGGGCCATAATTTTTTTCCCGCCCTGTATAAACATTCTAGGAAAAAAACATGAAATAACATTCAATTCTACACAAAAAAGGTATTCTTGTTTCAAATCAAAAAAGTACACCGTTTTCGAAATAAACGTATTTTTTAGAGACGTGCATAAAATAAAAAAATTTTACAAAAACTTTTGTAAATTCAAACATTATTCAAAAGGTCTTCAATAAAAGTGAATATTAAATGTATTAGCAGTAGATAACTTTTGCAACCAAAATGGATATGATTGAAACAATTATTTTTATTAAACCTTTGACTCAGTAACAGATTTTAAAAAAATATCCCTCTACAATATTTTGCCATAACTCTTGACGGTTATTTTTTTTTTAACAAGTGACTTAAGTAGCCCCACAAGTGAAAGTCTAGGGGATTTAGTTCGGGACTGCGTGCTGGTCATGGGTATACACTACCTCTACCAATCCACCTTTGAGGATAAATTTCATCTAGATAATTTCTAACTTCTAGGCTATAATGTGGTGGTGCACCATCATGCATGTACCAAGAGTTTCATCTCAAATTTAGAGGTATGTCTTCTAAAAGAGTTGGTAAATCTTTTATCAAAAAATTTAGATACGTTACTCCGTTAAGTCTAGTTGGTAATTCGAATGGTCCTACAATACAATCCCCAAATATGCCACACCAAATATTTATGGAAAACTCGTGTTGAAAATGATGTTCTTGAAATTCATGAGGATTTTCTGTCGCGTAGGTATGGCTATTGCGCCAGTTAAATACACCCCTTCTAGTAAATGTGGCTTCATCGGTAAATAAAATTTTATTTTAAAACATTGGATCGTCTAAATGCCGCCCCATCATAAACTGACTAAATCGGAGCCTTGCTGGAAAATACTGTGGTAAAAGATTCTGTACTGGAGTAAAACGATATGGAAACAGATTTTCTGTCAGTATTATTCTTGACAACGTAGATTTGCTTATACCAGTGGCCGCAGAAACAAGCCTTGTACTGGTTTCTGGATCTTCTGCAACGCGCACAACAATTTCATCCTCCATATCCGCATCAATTACTCTTGGCCTTCCAGCATTCCTGTTTTTGGGATGAAATGACCCTGTTTCGCCTAATCTGTCGAAAAATGATCTAATAGTTTTCTGGTTTGGTTGAGTTCTATTGGGATACAGTTCGAAATAAAGTTCAGCTGCTTTACGAGAACAAAAATTTTCCTGGGCATACAAACAGATCATATCGCGCATTTCTACATTAGTAAATTCACTATGACGTGGCATTTTTCCTTTATCTTAAGTGGTTTATAAAAAGCTTAATAGCACTTTGACAAATAATGACTCGCACTGCACTTTGACAACTAATAATAAATAAATTCGTAGGTACCTTTGACAACTAATAATAAATAAATTCGTAGTTACGTCTTGACGTTGTCATTAAGTTCAAAGCATACTTGTTTTGCAAAAAATTAAATAGAGACATGCATCATTAACAAAATACGTTTATTTCGAAAACCGTGTACTTTTTTGATTTGAAACAAGAATACCTTTTTTGTGTAGAATTGAATGTTATTTCATGTTTTTTTTTCTAGAATGTTTATACAGGGCGGACAAAAAAATTATGGCCCCATTAATGAACCAATGTTACAGTAGGTGGCGCCACCTGGTATCAATGGTAAAACTAATATCATTTTCTTATTAAGCATACTAAATAATGGCAAGATACCAAATTTCACTTAAATCGGTTGAATAGTTTTCAATATATCCATAAAAATAATATTAAAAAATATTAATGAATCTCCCTGTAGAACGAAAACTAGCAACATTTTTCCTAAGCAATTTGAGCTCATACGCTTTATTTTGATGTCAGCTATCACCCATTAGCTAATGCCCAATTAATTATGGGACACCCTGTATATTGGTATACTGTTATTTCTATTTTAAGAGTGATTACTTACTTTTTTTATTTTTAGGAGTCCATGTGACACGGCCTTTCCGTAGACCAGTTCGGATTATCATAGTAAGAAACAACCATTTACAGCCAATGACAAAAGTGTTACTTCACCATCCGATTATTCGACACAACCAACATAAAAGTCCTTAAAACCATTTCTAAAGTATTTAAAACTTACCTATATGAGAGTTCATGACAGCCATACGTTCCCTTAATAATTATATTTATATTAGCAAATTATTTGCCGAATCGGTCAACTTGTTATCTTTCTAATGATAGTTGATAACAGTGAACTCTCATATAAACTCTCAGGTAAACAACTGGAATATTAATATGTTATAAACGAAAAAAGACTTACAAGAGAATCTTTATGTAATTTATGTAAAATAAAATTCATAAAACATAATATTAAGGCAGTTTTTAGTTATTCACGTACATTTGAAGACATGATTGAAAGAAGGTGTTATCTCGAACATTCTGCCTTGTTCGGGATTATTTTCTTAATTTCTTAATAATAATATATAAAATAATAAATGTTAATATTTTCTTAATAGTACTTTTTTAACGTGTTTTTCATATACCTAAACATTTAGCGATATTTCCTAGTAGTTTCAGATTTCCTGGTGCATGATGGTGCTAACTGTACATATAATTTACAGAAACTCAGCGGAAGAAGCGTTTAAAAGCAGTTAACACCTTCTTAAACTTCAGTGGAAGAGGGTGTTAACTGCGAAATATATCATATAACTTATAAAAATATCACACAAGTGTCATGACTGTTCCAGCACGTGTTTTGTGATGACAGTGTTCGTAAAATTGCTTATTTAAAACGGTAATAATAAATATTTTTCTTAATAGTACTTTTTTAACGTGTTTTTTCATATACCTAAACATTTGGCGATATTTCCTAGTAGTTTCAGATTTCCTGGTGCATGATGGTGCTAACTGTACATATAATTTACAGAAACTTAGCGGAAGAAGGCGTTAAAAGCAGTTAACACCTTCTTCCACTTCAGTAGAAGAGGGTGTTAACTGCAAAATATATCATATAACTTATAAAAATATCATAGAAGTGTCATTACTATTCCAGTACGTGTTTTGTTATGACAGTGTTCGTAAAATTGCTTATTTAAAACGGTAAAAATAGATAAAGAAATGATCAACAACTTGAGGACAATAAGTGAAGCCGCTTTTTAAAGTTTAATGCGCGTGTTATCCACTAGGTGAACACAAATAAGGTGGCAAAATGTAAACATTGTTTGAAATTAAGTTTGTGTGAGTGGCTTTAAGTAAGATAATCTCCTGTCTACTTGATTCTATTCGATTCCAATAGATTCTATTCGTTTTTATTTTACTAATAAACACACATAGGACTTCGTTTACTTCTCGTTATAAGACATATACGAAGTATATGTCGTTATAACGAGTATATGTCGAAGTATATGTCGTTACAGTCTATACATATCTCGAGAACTAAAGGTAATTGAATCATGAAAATTGAAATTAAGGGGTTTTGAAGAGTGACCTATTTAATGAAAATATTTTCATCTATTTACTACTTCCGGTTATACCAGAAGTTGCTTCTTTTTTTCATTTTTCTTAATGGGACACCCTGTACATTTTTTAATTTTAGAAATATTCACGTTATTCTGAATATTTTTTGTTAATACTTCCCTATACCTATTGTGAACCGTTTTTGAGTTATATTGGTTTTTATATGAAAATTACACATTTCTTCTTCTTCTTACGGTGCCTATCCGTTCCGGATGTTGGCGATCAACGTGGCTATCCTAACTTTGCTTGCTGCTATCCTGAATAGTCCGGTTGTCGATGTATTAAACCACTTTCTCAGGTTTTGAAGCCAAGAAATTCTTCTTCTCCCTGGTCCTCTCTTTCCAAATACTTTGCCCTGAAGAATGAGTTGCAACAAGCCCTATCTCTGTTCATTCCTCATAACATGGCAAAGATATTCTACTTTGCGCTCTTTGATGGTGTTAATAATCTCGCATTCCTTGCCTATTCTACGTAGGACGTCAACATTAGTCACACGATCCACCCATGAAATTCTTAACGATACGTCTGTAACACCACATCTCGAATGCATCGAGTTTTCTTAAGGAGGCTTCGGAAAGTGTCCAGGCCTCTACTCCGTATAATAAGGTAGAAAATACATAGCATCTAATAAGAGAGATTTTGGTAGCAAGTGGTAAATCATGACTTTTGAAAAGAGACTTTATCATTATGAACGCTGATCTCGCTTTTCCTATGCGTTGTTTTATTTCACTTGAGTGATCCCATTGGCTGTTAATGTTGGTACCAAGGTATGTGTAGCTGTCCACTCTGTCAATTGGATGTTGGTTAACCAAAAGCTGTGTATTTAATATTTCGCGCTTACTGACTACCATGTACTTTGTTTTCTTCATATTAAGATCACGTCCGTGTTCTCTACTTATATGTGATATATGCGACATTATTCTTTGCAAACCGTCCAGACTATCTGCAAAAACTACTGCGTCGTCGGCACATCTAATGTTGTTTAGACGCATTCCGTTGACTAATACGCCTTCTTGTAGTTCTCCCAGCGCTTGCTCGAAGATATATTCAGAGTATATATTAAATAATTACTCTACTGTAATTTGTATTAAGTAGTTTACAGTGTAAAGTTGTCTTTTTCGTTATACAGGGTACTGTCAACATTGGGATAAATTCGGCATCCTAAATTGTCGCCTAATTCTTTTTTTTAAGACTATGTTGTGTTAATTTACAATTGTCATATTGTAAGTTTAACGTTGAACAATTAAAAAGATGCTTTCAATGAAAATATGCACTAGTTTATTAATTTAATACATGTTCAAAATGGTTCCCATCAACATTCAACCATTTATGAACTCGTTCAATCAGATTTTCGTAATAGTAGCTCTTGATATTAATTCGTTATCTATTTCATTAAGAATCTGTAGGACTTTATTTATTATAGCTTTCTCAGTAGTAATAGGTAAGGAAAACACCTCATTTTTAACATATCTCCAAATCTAGTAATCTGTGACAACGGGATCTTGGTGTCCAGAGAAACGGATCTTTATTAGCTATCCGTCCATCGCTAAATATTTTATCGTGTCGACTTCTGTATTGTGAGCCGGTGCTCCACCTTGTTGAAACCAAGCCCATTTAGCATTATTATGTAAAGCGTGCAGTGTTGCTACAATTACTTGCCGTAAAATGTTACAGTAACGATCTCTGTTTAAAATGTCGTCATCAATAATGAGAGCGACTATCTATTATTCACAGCACAAAAAACATGGAACAAAACGAATGCTTGAAATTTACTATCCCACGTGAGCTGAGGATTTTCGTCACTCCAGAAGTGATTGTTGTTATGGCGGTTAAACATACCAAACTTCGATTCATCACACCAAATAATTTTTTTTGTAAAATCTATTTGTAAGTCTTTATTATCGGCGTGGGTTCTTTTACTTATAAACTGACCAAACTGGAAACAATTGTTCAACAAACGTTTTATAATTTTATGATTTTTGGTCGAGGCTACTCAGAATATCTCTCAGCAAAAACACTGCAAATTCTGGATAGTATTATATTACACTTCTCGTAGATTATAATTAAATTTTTAAAAATCATTTGTATATCCTAAATGAGTCATTATTATTTTGTCAAGAAAATTAGACAAATTATTATTATAACTGTCACCCAGTGGGATACAAAAAAGTTACTATTAAACATTAACAATAACTGATTTTTTTTTTTCATTTGTGATTTACCGGTCTGTTTATTATCTGCTCTTTTCATAAAACCATCCCCATTTCGATAGTATATAATTCTAGGTTTGGGTAATTATTACATCTTCAAAAATAAAACACAGTTTAGTCCAAGTATAAAATTTTATTTAAGGAAACCTAAAGCTAACTTTAACCTTTAAATTTAAAAAAGGATTAAATAAACAACTAACTACTTATATCACAAAAAATAAACTAGGAAACATATGAGGCACATGGTTAGCACAAAGTGATCAGTACCATAGGATTTTCTATACAAAATTCAAACATTTATTGCTTTATCTAAAAAATACCTACATCAAAATATTATTATGAGATTAATAATTTAATACAACCAGCCTAAATTAACTTAATTCTAACTTTATTCAAGCTTACGTAAAAATACTTTTTGGCAAGAAACCAGGATAATCGTAGAATAAAAGAATGTTTGATACTTTAAATATTCGAATGTAAGGTGAGCGAGGGAATAAATATTTCCCTCAGATGAGATGATTCCGTGGTATTGACCCCGATGATAATCGATTTTTTCAATTCGTTTTTTATCTATTCCGTTTAAAAAAACTCATATTAATTTTGAGTTGGAGTGTGAAATACATAATTATATCCATAATACTGTCTAGAAGACTAACTTCATACGCAGAGGAAATAATGGGCGACTACCAAAGCGGATTCAGACCGTGAAGGTCGACCATAGACCAGATATTCGTCCTACGCCAGGTGTTGGAAAAAAACTGGGAATACAACCGCGATGTACACCAAATCTTCGTGGACTTTAAACAAGCTTACGATTCTTTTAGCAGAGAATTATTGTGGGAGACCATGGTAGAAATGGAAGTACCTGGAAAGCTGGTACCATTAGCACAGGTGAGCACAGAGAACACGGATCAGAATTGGCAGCACCACGTCGGAGGAATTCCTCATTGACACCGGGCTTATACAAGGAGATCCTCTCGTCCCCCTGCTATTTAATTTTGCACTGGGACAAACGGATTTGCCGCCCAAGGATCAAAAATACTATTGGCGTTTGCGGATGACGTGAACAGAATTGCACAATCCACCAGAGATGCAAAAGAAGTTTTCACCCTATTCGAAAACAGAGCCAAGGTAGTTGGTCTGAAGGTCAACGAGGACAAGACCAAGTACATGGTGGTTACGAAGGAAGTCGGCCAGTTGTATATTATATATATTGCCATAAGTATTGAAACAGCAACAGGAGTCTGGTTGAAAGATCTGAAGGCTCTAAAACTCCGTGGAAAATGGATGGGTGTGTACCTAATTCACCCGACAATTGTGAATAGTGAATGCTTCCTACAAATATGTATGACAGAGTGCAAATAAAGTTCCCGAGAGCCACATAGCCAGTATGACACCGAGAAATATGGGAAACTATTGGTAGAAAAAAGAAAGTAGAGAGGAAGATTTTCTAACATGATGGCAGACAAAATAAGAGTCGGTGGAAAATCCCTCATTACAGCCGTCATCTGGCACAGGATTTGCAATCAAATGGAGATACAAGTGATACATATATTAAATAGTGTTCCACACGCCTGAACAAGGCACAAGGATCGAGATGGAGAGACAAGATTTACTTTTTGTTTGCATTAAATTTGATTTCTTTATATTTAATAAACTCGATTAGTTG